TCAGACAGCATATTCTTCACTTTGCCTTTTAAGGTAACCTCCTCTCCTCCCCACCAGGAAAAGTGTAAAAGCCTGGACTCTGGAAGTTTGGGCACACCCACACCCGAGACTGCATCCTTTCAGGAACTGGGCTGAATTCACAGCGGATCCAGTTGAAATGCAGATTCTGAGTCAGAAGTTCCAGGGAGGGACCTAGGTTTTGCATTTCTCACAAGTCCCCAGTCACGGTGATGCTGTCTGGACTGGATGCAGAGTCCATTACCTAAGGTCTCTACTACTCTATGGAAGCTGTGAACCCAGCTCTACTAAAGGAAATGAGGTGGTTGGGGAAGTAGGTCAGTGGTAAGAGCATTTGACTTAGCATTACACAATCCTGAGCACCACCTCAAAAAAAAAAAAAAAAGAAATTCAATAGTAAATAGTATAGGCATTTGTTGGACAATGTGCTCTAGGGACAAAGCATTGTTTTATACACCAATCTTTTATAACAAAAAGACCTCAGATTCATGATGAACCTATTGAGTATAATTTTGCAGCTGTCATTATTTAGTCCTCTCTTGAACACAAGGCAGAGTTATCCAAAGTTCCTCAAGAATTTCTTTTTGTTTTTAATCGGTGCATTATAATTATACATAACAGTAGGATTCATTATGCTTTATCTGTACATGCACCTAATAATTTGATCAATCTTTCCCTTACCCTCCTCCTCCCCCACACCCTTTCTCTACTCTACTGATCCCCCTTCTCTTATTGTTACCAAACAGGTCTTTCTAACTGGTAAGATAGTTGTAAACATACCTTCCTCCAAAAAAGCAAAGTAAGAAATGCACATCAAAGAAAACAAATTGTTAGCCGGCATGGTGGCTCATACCTGTAATACCCCCCCGTGACTTGAGAAGCTGACACAGGAGGTTTGCAAGTTCAAGGCCAGCCTCAGCAATTTAGTGAGGCCCCAAAACATCTTAGCAAGACCCTTTCTCAAAAAATAGGGTTGGGAATGTGGCTCAGTGGCAAAGCATCCCTGGGTTCAATCCTCAATGTAAAAAAAAAAAAAAAGTCAGATTGTCACATGAGACTCATTTTGCCCACCAAAGAGTTGACCCATGATTGAAGTAGTGAGTTTTGCAAAAGTTTATTCACAAGATGACCAAAACTGAGGAGCAGGAGCCCCAAGTCTCAAATTCACCACCCTGAGGATAAGGCTTATAATAGGGTGTTTGTGGGATAAAGAAACAGCGAGGTCTGAGGCATAGGGAAAGGTGGTTGGAGATAAAGAAAACTGAAGTAATTGGTGAACTACGCATGAGTAAAAACTCGAGGGCTCCCCATGGGAGGCATGTGTAGAAATTGGCAGTGTTAACAGCTCTGAGGGTAGAGTTTTGGCGGTCTGACCACACAAGGTCACTGCATTAGACATTTGTACAGGTCCAAGTGAAGGGTCAGAGGTTTCAACTGGTTTAAGCGACCTCTAAGTTCCTGAAAAACAACTTAGGCAACCATGAACATCTTGACCCAAAGGTATGATATATAGCAAAGCTAATGGGAGTAGAGTGCTTTGCTATGTGACCTCTAAAATCAGTGATTAAAGCAAATAACTAAAGCAAGTGGAGCTGGAGGGTTCATTCAAAATGAGGCCTCCTAAAGCCTCTGCTGTTACCCTTTAAGACAAGGACAGGGCGTTCTAGCTCAACAGAGAGTTTTTCTGGAGGCATTTCCTCCAGGCTCACTACCCATTGTTTGGGAGGAAAACCCAGCACATTTACCACCCCTGGCAGAGGTCTGCAGGCCTGACTTCACCCGCAGCACTTCAAGCTAATCAGGAGACTCTGGTATACTGCACTGTTTATATACTCAAAGCCCAGTCTCATTGTATTTTGGCCCTTTGAGATCTTCATGTGTTATCTTAGCAACTGTATTTGTGGAGGAGGAAGATCCTTAAAATAACAGCTGTTATCTTGTGTATTTGGCATCAGCAAAGTATTGTCCAGGTCCGCACATGGTAACAATGTTAAAATTACCAGAAAAGATGATTATCTCCATAGTGCTGTGGAGATGCATAGCAGGGCAGGAAACACAAAAGGAAAGGGATTTAGTGCCTCCCCAAAGTCTGAGTGACCTCACCCACCGCGGAACAGAGAAACACACCAAGAGGGTCCTTTTGATGGTATCACACTACAGGAAACAGGCTAATTATGCTTGCAGAATAGACATGATCAGTGGACAGGGGACCAGGTTTGCACGACCTCAGACATCAATGCCTCCTTCTCAGCCTTTCTTTCCATGAGCCACCAGTATATATAAAAAGAATCAACTTTATCCTTTCAGTCATTCTACTCTGTTTTCAAGTATAGTTCATGCTGAATGCGGAATATTTGGGGAAACATGTTTTAAAGGAGGGAAAAAAATGCCATCCATAATCCCATTACTAAAAAAGGAACTATGTTAGTAACTTAAATATTTATTCTGTATATCTCTACACACTTCTTAGTGAGTTTCCATGGGAGGGGCAAGTGTCCCCATGGCTCAGAAACTTTCGTATACTCTTTTCCCAGACTCATCAATTGTTAAGATTTTTGTCCCAGTATCATCCTCTCTGTCTTCTCTCTGTGTAAACAGCTTGAGAGTCCTTTACAGACATCATGTGTATTTATTCTCTAAATATTTCAGTTGTTGTTGTTTTTTTTTTCTTAAGAAGAAGGACATTCTCTTACATAACTGCAGCACAATAGTAACTACAGGCAACTTTGAGAAAAGAAATAGACTTGAGAATGATGGAGATCCTCTTCAGTTAACATCTGTCGACCAATGTCCGAAGCATTGGTTTTCAAACTTGGGCACCATTAGCATCCTCTGCAGGGCCTGATACAACCCAGACTCCTCAGCCCCCAGAATCTGTGATTCAGAGTGTGGAGCGTAGAGCCCAGAATCTCCATTGCTAACAAAGCCTGGGGTGATACAAGAATCCCACTTTGAGAACCAGTGGTCTAGTATCTTTAAAATGAAAGCAACTAGCAGGGTCCTTCCCTGCTGTGGCTTGAGCGTGGACCCTCTTAAGTTCCAGTGTTGAAACCATCTGAGAAGCCCATGTGACGGTATTAAGAGGTGGGGCCTTGAAACAGGTAATTGCAGAGAGCAGGCCTCAGCACATGACAAACCTGCTGGCACCTCCATCTCGTACATCCCAGGGTCCGGAACTGGGAGGAAATAAACTTCTGATCTTCACTGATGGGCCAGTCTTCTGTGACAGCAGTGCAAAATGGACTTAGACTGGGGACTTCTTTCTCTAGGAGTCACCCTTTCCCTCAGGCTCACCTGAGAGATTTGTGGCCACCTCTGAAAGTCTACTGGCTTCCTCTCCTCACATCTTTCCTGCCATAAAACAATGACCTCATTCAACTCACAGAACCCTGTTTAAAAAAAAAACAAAAAACATGGATGATATGACAAAATTGAGCAGGCATGATGGCACATGCCTGTAATCTAAACAACTCAGGAGGCTGGGGAGGGAGGATCACAAGTTCAAGGCCAGCTGGACAACTGAGTGAGACCCTGATTTGAAATTTTAAAAAAGTAGGGAGGTGGTCTGGGCACATCTTCAATGGCCTAGGAACCTCCCGGTAAATCATATCTTCCAAAAGTTCCACCACCTCCCGGTAAGTTCTACTGTGGGTACCAAGACTTCAACACATGGACCTCTGTGGGACATTCAAGGTCTGAACTATTACATATCCCTTCCAGTTTATAAGCACTGGAGTGTTGTAAAATAAGTAGGCTCTGGATCTCCACCTTCAGAGATTGTGGTTTCTCAAGATAAATGGACCCCAAGAATGTGCACACTAGCAAGATAACCCAGGAGGCCCATTAGAGTTTAGAAACCCCTGTTCCTAAACTCTAACGGATTCACAAATCGCAAATGGTTTCTAAATCACATGGATTTTTTTTTACAAGACCCTCTTGCTCGTTTTCTAAGATAAATTTCTAAAATTTTGGTTTGTATAGGAATCAACTAGGGAGTATGTTCAAAGTGCAAACCACAGACCATAACTCCCCACCTCACCCCAGATATCTCAAGTCAACAGCAGGCCTTAGTGGTCTAGTATCTTTAAAATGAAAGCAACTAGCAGGGTCCTTCCCTGCTGTGACCAAGTACCCTAGGTGTTTCTGAATATTATTGTTTCAAAGGAAAGTGATAGCTCTGATCTTGGGCCTTTGCAAGATAAGTGTCAAATCAACCACTCAGCAAATATTTACTTTTAGCATTCATTTTGTTACTAAAACAAGAGTTGAAACCTTTTGGTATAATTGCTTTTAATTCTATGAAAACTCATCTCCCGAGGCTATTCCAGATGTTGCCTTTGAAAATGATCATCTTCTAGAGGGTTGCTGGAGAAGAAATCACACATGGAAACCTTAAAATGACCTTCTACTCCAAATGGGGCTCTGTGCACTCTTTTCCAACCATTTTCAATTATTTAGGTAGTGTGAACAAAGATTCTCCAACCCAGGTCCCTTTCAGAATTTAACTATTAATTGCCAAAAGAGAAGGAGAACTGTTCCCCTACAAAGCTCCACTGGGGACTAGAACAGGCAGAAAAGGGAGGGTGAAAGGATGGTGGGAGAAAGGACCCTGCTCTTCTAACTTTAAAGAGCTACTTGAATCTTTGGATTGCTTCCCTCCATCCATCCAATCATTCATGTAGTGCCATCTTGGTGCTCCTTTTCGGATCCTGGGAGAAGTCTAAGGAATTCTTCAAGTTCATCCCCATTGTGAACTCTGCCCCAGTCCCCAAACTGAAGGAGAGCCCTCTTCTCTCTTCCCTGATACCTGAATCACTGATACAGGCTCTGATCTAGCTCTTGCTATATGGTAAGATCTTATTTACTTCTTTATCTGCCTGACCCATGCCCCCATAGTAGATTGTGAAGTCTCAGGAAAATAAGCCAGGTATATTGGTCAGCTTTCCATCACCATAATGAAATACCTAAGTCAACCAACATTATAAGGAGAAAAGGTTTATTTAGCTTATAGCCTTAGAGGTTCTTAATTCAAAGTTGGAAAACCCCATATATTTGACCAATGGCAATGGTGCAGAGCTCATGTTGGAGTAAGTGGTCACATCTTATCGAGCTGGGAAGGGGAGAAAGAGACTGAAAGAAAGAGACTGGGGTTTCACAATCCCCTTCAAGGACACACTTCAAGCAACCTAAGACCTCCCACTGAGTCCCACCTTCTGAACATGCACAGTGTCTCCCAGTAACACCACCCTGGGGAACAAGCCTTTAACACAAGGACCTTTGGGGATACTACCCTTGGCCAGATCATAGCTCCAGGATTTTGTTTTCATCCTTATTTCTTTCAAAATGCTTCATCCAATGTCTTGAGATTATAAAGCCCTAGAGGAAACAAAAATAAAATGAATGAATGTATGGATGAATGAACTGATACCCAAGAACTCAGCCCAGGAAAGATAATCAGAACAGAGGCAGAAAACCACCATCAAGAGAGAGGGGAGGGCCTGAGGTTGTGGCTCAGTGGTAGAGCACTCGCCTAGCATGCACGATGCACTGGGTTCGATCCTCAGCACCACATAAATGTAAAGAGAGAGAAAGGGGGGAAAGCTGAAGGCAGGGATATGGGGTGGGGACTTGAGAGGAGGAAGAAGCCAAAAGTCACTCTGTAAGTGAAAGAGGAGGACTCCATTTCAGGGTGTGACATAATACTGTTTGAGGACGAGTAGTTTCACGGCTAAGGAAGCGGATAACCTGAGCAGTGGTTATGAGATACATAACTCTCCAGGGACTGGCAGCAGACAAATGAGTCCAAATAATTCAAAAGGCAAAAGACACAGGACACTTTCCTTATATCCCCAAATATCCCCCATTAAATGCTGGTTTTTTAATTGTTCTTTTTAGATATACATAACAGTAGAGTGTATTTTGACATATTATATATACATGGAGTATAACTTTCCATTCTTGTGGTTGTACATAGTACGTAGTTTCACTGGTTGTGTTTTGATATATGAACATAGAAAAGTAATGACGGATTCATTCGACTATCTTTCCTATTCCCAAATTCCCTCACTTCCTTTAATTCCCCTTTGTCTAATCTAATGTACTTCTATTTCTTCCCCACCCCATATTGTGGGTTAGCATCTACATATCAGAAAGAACTTTTGGCCTGTGTTTTTTTTTTGGCTTATGTCACTAAGCATGATAGTTTCCAGTTTCATCCATTTACCCACAAATTCCATAATTTTATTTTTCTTTTAAGGCTGAGTAATATTCCATTGTGTACATATAATACTTTTTCTTTGTCCATTCATCTGTTGAAGGGAATATAGGTTGCTTATATAGCTTAGCTATTGTGGAATGAGCTGCTATAAACATTGAGCCTCTAGGGCTATAAGCTAAATAAACCTTTTATCCTTATAATTTTGGTTGACTTAGATATTTCATTATAGTGATCACTATAGAATGCTGATTTTAAGTCCTCTGGGTTAAGTACTAAGGAATAGGATAACTGGGACAAATGGTGGTTCTATTCCAAGTATTCTGAGGAATCTCCTTACTGTTATCCAGAGTGGTTGCTCCAACTTGCATTTCCACTCCCAACGTATAAGTGTACCTTTTCCCCACATCCTCGCCGACATTTATTATTACTTGTATTCTTGATAATTGCCATTCTGACTGGAGTGAGATGGAATCTCAGTGTAGTTTTAATTTGCATTTCTTTAATTGCTAGAAGTGTTAAACATTTTTTCACGTATTTGTTGACTGTTCATATTTCTTTTGTGAAATGCCTCTTCAGTTCCCATTTATTTATTGAGATTTTGGGGTTTGGGGTTTTATGTTTTTAAATTTTTTTATATATCCTCAAGATTAATGCTGTATCTGAGATACAGGTGGCAAAGATTTTCTCCCATTTGGTGTATCTCTCTTCACTTTCTTGATTATTTCCTTTGCTGTGAATAGCTTTTTAGTTTGATATCAACCCAATTACTGATCCTTAATTTTGCTTCTTGTGCTTTAGGAGTCTTGTTGAGGAATTCCGTTACTAAGTTGACATGATGGAGAGTGGAACCTACATTTTTTTTTTCTAGTAGGTACAGGATCTCTGGTCTAATACTTAGATCCTTAAACCACTGTGAGTTGATTTTTTGTGCAGGGCGAGAGACAGGAGGTTAATTTCATTTTCTACATATGGATTTCCAGTTTTCCCAGCACCATTTGTGGAAGAAGCTGTTTTTCTCTAATATATGTTCAAGGTTCCTTTGTTTAGCAGGAGACAACTGTATTTATGTGGGTTTGTCTCTGTGTCTTCTACTCTGTTCCATTGGTCTTCAGATCTGTTTGGGGGGCCAACACCATGCCATTTTTGTTAGTATAGTTTTGTGTTATAATTTAATGTGGTATTGTGATGCCTCCTGCATCACTTTCCTTGCTAAGGATTGCTTTGGCTATTCAGGGCCTTTTATTTTTCCAAATGGATTTCGTGACTCCTTTTTCTATTTCCATGAAGAATGTAATCAGAATTTTAATAGAATTTCATAAAGTCTATATAATGCTTTTGGTCGCATGGCCATTTTAACAATATTAATTCTGTCTAAGAACACGGGTGATCTTTCCATCTTCTAAGGTCTTCTTCCATTTCTTTATTTTAGTGTCCTGTAGTTTTCATTGTTGAGATTTTTCACCTCTTTTGTTAGATTGATTCCCATGTATTTTATTTCACTTTTTTGAGACTATTGTGCATGGAACAATTTTTCTAATTTTTCTTTCAGTTGATTCATCACTGCTGTATAGGAATGCAATAGATTTATGGGTATTGATTTTGTATCTTGCTATTTTTCTGAATTAATTATTAGTTTTATTTGATTATTAATTATTAGTTTTATTTAATTATTAATTACAAGTTTTCTGGTGGAGTTTTGGGGTCTTCTAAATATATTATCAGCAAATAGGGATAGTTTGAGTTCTTTCTTCTATTTGTACCCCCTTAATTTCCTTCTTTTGCCTAATTGCTCTGTCTGGGGTTTCTAAGCTTAATTTGAATAGAAATGGTGAAAGAAGGCATCCTTGTCTTGTTCCAGTTGTTAAATGGAATGCTTTAAGTTTTTCTTCATTTAGAATGATGCTGAATTGGCTTGGGTTTAGCATATATAGTTTTTGCGATGTTGAGATATGTTACTACTATCTCTAGTTTTTCTAGTGTTTTGAACATGAATGAATGTTGTATCTTGTCAAATGCTTTTTCTGCATCCATTGAGATAATCATGTGCTTTTCGTCTTTAAGTCTACTGATGTGATGAATTACATTTATTGATTTCCATATGTTTAACCAACCTTGCATCCCTGGGATGAATCCCACTTGATCATGGTGCATGATCTTTTTAATATGTTTTTGTATGTGATTTTCCAGTATTTTATTAAGAAATTTTGTGTTTGTGTTAAACAGGAATACTGTTCTGAAATTTTCTTTCTTTGGTGTGTCTTTGTCTGGTTTTGATATCAGAGTGATTCTAGCTTCATAGAATGAGTCTGGAAGGGTTTCCCTCCTTTTATATTTCATAAAATAATTTGAGGAGGATAGTGTTAGTACTACTTTGAAGGTCTGGTAGAACTCCACTGAGCATCTGTCTGGTCCTGGGCTTTTTGTTGTTGGCAGGCTTGATGACATCTTCAATTTCATTGCTTAAAATTGATCCTCCTGATTCAATTTGGGATTTTCTATATTATTAGAGTGCAAAATTCCAAAATAATTTCTGATTGTCTTTTATTTCAGTAGTAGCCATTGTGATATTTCCTTTTTCATCAGGAGTTTCAGTAATTTGAGTTTTCTCTCTCATTCTATTCATTAGCTTGACTAAGGGTTTATCAATTTTATTTATTTTTTTCAAAGACCCAACTTTTTGTTTCATCAATTTTTAAAATTGTTTTTTGTTTGTTTCAATTTTATTGATTTTGGCTCTGATTTTAGTTATTTCCTGTCTTCTAATGCTTTTGGTGTTGATTTGTTCTTTTTCTAGGGATTTGAGATGTAATGTCAGGTGATTTAATTGGGGATTTTCTGTCCTTTTAGTGAATGAGTTCAATGCAATAAATTTTCCTCTTAGAACCACCCTCATAGTGTCCCAGAGATTTTGATAGATTGTGTCGCTATTCTCAATTACCTTTAAGTATTTTTTTTTTTAATTTAGCCCTGATTTCTTATGCTATCCACTGGTCATTCAATAGGATATTCCTTATACTCAAAGTGTTAGAGTAGCTTATTTTTTTATTTTATTGTTGATTTCTAATTTCAGTCCATTAGAATCTGATAGAATTCAAGATATTATCTCTATTTTTTGTGCATGTTTGCTAAGAGTAGATTTGTGGCCTAAATTATGGTCTATTCTAGAGAAGGATCTGTGTGTTCCTGAGAGAAAAGTGTATTCAGTGTTTGATGGATGAAATATTCTATATATGTCTGTTAACTTTAAATTATTAATTGTATTTTTTATTTCTATAGCTTCTTTATTTAGTTTTTGTTTGGAGGATCATCCCAGTGGTGAGGAAGGCATGTTAAAGTCACCCAGTGTTATTTTGTTGTTGTCTACTTCATTCTTCAAATTGAGAAGTTTGTTTGATGTTCATAGATGTTCCATTGTTTGGCATGAATATTTATGATTGTTGTGTCTTGTTGGCATACAATTCCCTTAAGCATGAAATGTCCTTCTTTGTCCCTTCTGATTAACTTGGGCTTGAAATCCACTTTATCTGATATGAAGATAGAAACCCCTGCTTCCATCGAGCGACCAGCACGCTGGTTTCATACAAGAGGTTCGAAACATAGAAGTTAACTAGTGAGATCAAAATAAACACACAAGACTCAATTACCTTTTTCTTTGACCAGGTCCGAGACGGCTCCCCCTCTAGCTGTTGCCTCGAGCCACCCAGTGGGGCAGCAAGGCTTACTCAGGACTAGCAGGAGAGGGAGAGAGAGAGAGAGAGCGAGGGAGTGGCCCTTTATTGGAGAACAAGAAATTCAGGGGAAAATTCCATCCAAAGAAGGTCAAGGGGGGCAGCATTCCAAGGTCAGGGTCAGTGATTGGTCTCAGGGTCAATGGTCAGTCACACCCCAACATGGACAGGCTCTCATGTGCGAGAATGGCTTCCCACACCTGCTTGTTTATGAGATCCAAATCAATGATATGTTTTTCCCCATTCTTTTACCTTCAGTCTGTGGATGTCTTTGTCTATGAAGTGAGTCTCTTGGAGACACAATACTGTTGGGTCTTGTTTAATCTAAGCTGCCAGTCTATGTCTTTTGATTGATGAGTTTTAGGCCATTTACATTTAATGCTATTATTGAAATGGATTTTATTTCCCATTGTTTTGATTTATTTCTGGTTTTTAATTTGAGTTAATTTCTCCTTCGATTGACTATTCTTCTAGTGTATCCCCCTTTTGCTATTTTTCACTCTTATTTTTCAATTCTTCATAATAATATGACTTGGTATGGATCTGTTGTAATTTTGAATATTTGGGGTCCTGTAAGCTTCTTGAATTTGATTTTCTATTTTATTCTCAAGGTTTGGAAATTTTCTGATATTATTTCATTGAAAAGAATGCGCATTACTTTCGTTTGTATCTTCAAGACTTTATCTATCCCAATAAATCTTATATTTAGTCTTTTCATGTTATTTCATATTTCTTGGAAGTTATGTTAATGGTATTTTAACATCTTTTCTCCATGTCCCACTTTATTTTCAAGATTATATAGTTTATCTTCATGTCTGAAACTCTATCTTCCAAGTGATCTAGATTGTTGGTGATGCTTTCCTTTGAATTTTTTTAATATTTATTTTTTAGTTTTTGGTGGACACACATCTTTATTTTTTTGAGAGAGAGAGAGAGAGAGAGCGAGAGAGAGAGAGAGAGAATTTCAACATTTATTTTTTAGTTATCGGCAGACACAACATCTTTGTTTGTATGTGGTGCTGAGGATCGAACCCGCACCGCACACATGCCAGGAGAGTGCACTACCGCTTGAGCCATGTCCCCAGCCCTCCTTTGAATTTTTAATTTGGTTTATTAAATTCTTTATTTCAAGAATTGCTCCTTGATTATTTTTTCAGAATCCGTATCTCTTTATTGAAGGATCTTTCACTTCCTGTATTTCCTCTCTGATTTTAGGCCTTACATCATCCTTTATTTCACAGATCAGTTTCACTACTCTAAACTTCTTCTCTGACATTTATTCCACTGCCATGTCAATGGGTTCTGTTTTTGAAGTATGTTGGTTTATTTAGGGAGATTTGTTCCCTTTCTTTTTCATGTTATTTGTGTGTCCACCATTAAGTAGACCCACAATACAGATCTGAGGCAGTAAAGTTCCTACTCTGTGGACTTATAATGTCCCTGAAGTTTTTCAGTCTCTCACTGTTTAGGAGGGAGACAAATAATAACAACTACCAATGCCAACAATATACAGTATTAACCAAATAATTCCTGCTATGACACCAACAATATTAATTGTCACAATAAACAAAAATGATACAATCAGTTATTGTCTACAATAATAACAGTAAGTTTGCAAAAGTGGTTACAATTTTGAATGGTAGGGAGAAAACAGAAGTGATGTAGGATGTGATGATTATGATGGAAGATGAGAGAGGACAGAAGTAAAAAATAAAAGGAAGAGTTAAAGAAAGAACAATAGAGATTGGCTGTTGGCAGAAGAAAAGAGAGAAAGAGAATCAAGGGAAACAAAATGAGAGAAAGCACACAGAAAGTAAAATTTTAATAAATCAAAAATAAAAATAAAAGAATAAAAAACAAAACTAAAATATGCTAATCAAATATCTTAGTGTTCACAATACTGATCCATAAAACATAACTGGCTTCAAAAATGCTAGAAATGAGAAAAAAACAAATATGATTATGTATAAGTGTCCATGAACCATTAAAGTCACAATTAAACAGAGAAAAGAAAAAAAAAGATCTCAATGAAAAGTTAAAGAATTACATCTGTTGGAGTTCAAAACATTTCTCTGAGGTGTGAAGTGGGATTTGCTGTAGTGAGATGCCAGCTCCACCTTCAGGGTGGGGCTACTGAAATGTAAGAGGAAATCCCATAGGCAGACCTCCTGGAGGCAGGTTTAGGTGTAGGTGGTCTCCAGGTTTTTTTGCTGAATGGCAATTGGTCTGGAGATTTTAAATCAATGCACCTCCAGGACTTAGCAGTTGCCAATCCACAATGGAAGACTGCACCCCAGGGATCTCCCCCAGGTTCAAGTGGTGGAAGAGTCCATTATTAGTCCCCTCCATCACCTGCAGACCCCACATTTCCTGGTCTTTGGTTCAGTATCCAAATCCAATCTCTCCTGCTCCCACCCTTTTGCGTTCCCATCCAGGCATGTCTCTCTCAGCAGGTCCTGCAAGCAACCAGATTGAAAGAGGAGATGGAGCGCTGAGTGTTTTTCCATAACCAATAGTCCCCTGTATAAACCCCTCTCCACTTTTGATTTTCTCTTGGTCAATTAGGAACACTCTATGTCATTGCAGTGTGGTTTGCCAGGCCTGCATTTTGGGCCAAAACTTGGGTTTGACAGGAATCAGCTTCCCCAGCTGCTGGGCCCTGCACTTTGGCTGCAAAATGATTCCTTCCTCTGTCCTCCATGGGCAGTTGGGAGAGATGTAGCTTCTTTTCCACACAAATATATCATGGAGCACGGCTTTCAGTTTAGTCTGGCAGTGTCTTTGATCTCTAAACTCTCTATACCCAGACACACCTCAGAATTCCTAAAAATGTGGGTTTCTTTAATTCCCTTATGCTTCCACTTTGCTCTTAGAAGGACCGCTCTGCTCTGACTGATGCTTCCAGAAGTGGCAGTGGAGGTAGCTGGGATTTCTCCCTTATTTTATTATATCCAACTTCCTGAATCCCCAACCTGCTTTGAATGTCCTGTATTAGATCTCAGTAAAGTCCACCCCTGCTTTTTTTTTTTTTTACCCACCTTGCTAAGAAACTGCCTATATGTTCTTATTTTCACATCACAAAGCAGCCAGGAAAATGATTGTCTCTATTCCACCATCTTGAAACCACTAATTGCTGGTTTTGACATATTCTAAACTAGAGACCAGCTTTACCTGACCGTTGTCAGGTTCCTATCCTCTGCTTTGTCAGGAGCACACTTGAATCAGGAGACTCTCTTCATTTCATTATGAGAGAATAATTAAAATGCAAATAAATCCATGAAGTATCATGCAGGATGAAAATTCATTCAACACTAAATTCCTCTTCTTTCTGAGAGGTGGGCTATCTGGAATAATTTCATCGAACACATGAAAAGCAGAGAGGCCATGAAGAGGACCCCCACCTGCCAAATCTGACTCCTCCACTCAACAGAACAAGATAGACAGAAGCCCTACAGGGTAACCTCAGGTCTTATTGAGACAGAGTTTTTTTTTTTTTAATAATGTCACAATATTCTACCCAATCTCATTCCTTTCCCCTGTTGATCCCTTTTCGTTGATCTGTCCTTTCTGTAGCTGCTGGATTGGTTTTGCGATTGCTTTTCTGTTTTTCTAGTAGGATTTACATAAACAGCACATTTCCATGACAATATAAATGACTCCAGCACTTTCCAAAGACCATAAACCCAGCACGCCATTAGCAATAAAAGAAGCTGTCAAACATTGCTCTCAACACACTCAGCACAATGGCACAATTCATTTTTTTTTTCAACTTTCAAAATACACAGATGTATAATTAAGTGCCTTTGTTACAAGACTGCTTTCTGTTAAAGTTATTTGAGTCATACTCAAATAACTTTGATGACTTTTTAAATATAGATGATTTAGAAGATTTCTAAAGAGATTGCTGCTACTGACAACAACAGTGCCAGTTAAGCAATAAATGTTTGTTGAATGAGTTTTTACTAAAACTATCTCTCTGTCCTCACCCTACCAAACTCTGCCTTCTGAAAATGCATAGAGAATGGGCTAAGTATTGGTGACACATGCCCCAGGCACTTGCCACCGCTAATTGAAACAGGTCTGGATATTGGACCCAAGCCTGGCTAATGAGGTTCACTTCCCTGGTAATCTGAACTTGGACCACTGAGAATAAATTACTTAGAATGTGGAGGGCCATGGAAAAAGTAATGACTGGGGTTTGGAGCAGTTTGGAGCCAAATGATAAAACAGCAAGAGTTTCTATTGAAATGAGGACACATTATATATAAGAAGAATAGTGGAGGATTCCTCTCCTCCCTATTTCCATGGCCTCTCCCACTTCTGTACATTTGTGGAACAGCTTTTCCTTTGATCTATCTTTTCAGAGACATTGGTATAGCAACAGCCTTGAGAAAATAGGGATAATGTTTTCTTGGGAGCAGAGGGAGGATTTGTTGTCTGATAAGGATAATGAAGATAATATGTCCTCTGGGACAAAGGGCAGGCAGGTTCACTTACAGCCCCTGATAAGATGAAGATTTCTGAAACGTGATGATTTCTCAATGATGATGAAAACTCACTGCCTGTGCAGCAACCTCGTAGGCCCACCTCCCTGTCACCTTCTTGAGCCATGGAGGGAGGGAGGGTGAGGGAAAGTGATGGTCATGTATCCTGCTGTACTCTGAATAATGAGTAATGAGGCCTTTGGTCTCTGAACCAGGAGTTTCCTGTCTTTTCCCAGCAACCAAGAGATTGTGGTAAGCTAACTGGATAACTTTCAAGTAAGATATATGGTTAGTTTCTTTTGTAGCTCTTGACAGAGAGTTACCAAGTAGAATACTTATCAAGCTACTAACACTATTCAGGAAAGATTGACAGGGAGAAAGCATGGTGTAACAACAAAAAACAAATCTCATTTCTGAAGTGAAGAAAGGAGACTCCATCTCGAACCATTCTTACAATGAGCTCTTTTAATTTCCAAATAGGTTTGCAGGAACTTTTATTGAATCTATTTTTAAATATATTCATTATACTCCGAA